AATTTAACACAACTGCATTTCCCTACCAGAGATCCATTTGTCAGTATTATTATCATCACCACCACCTGAAAGCCGTGCTACCGGCCTCTCCCCTTCAAAAAACTGCTGGGGGGGGGGGGGGGAGGTTATTTCGCAACTGAATATTTTTAAATGGTTTGTTTTCATCACCATTGTGTGGAAAGGCTATTATGAATTTTCATTCAAACTCTTGGCTCACTTTTTTTTTTTTAAAGTATAAATTGTGTCTAACAAGAAACACACCAGGGATCTCTTCAATCCCCAAAGGCACTTTCTTAAAAGGAGAGAGAACAAAGGAGAAAACCTCCCAGCATGTGCTTTCCAAACCAGCTTCTTAGGACAGTATCACAAATGACAATACTAGAACATAAGCTTTTCTTTTTCGTTCTTTGATCCATGTATAATTGAATTGATTATTGCAAACTGTGTAATGATTTCCAAAAGACTTGAGTAGAAGGCAAAGATCACAACAATCTAATAACCAATTTAAAGAGATGTAAGAAATATTGAAGGAAAGATTTAATCACTCAAGTATACTCCTTCCAATTAGAAAGAGCTTTAAATAGCTTACCTTGAGATAAATTAGAGTCTGTATGCAATTATACAGGAATAGTAATTAAGATCAGGAAAATTCACATATGCCTCAGCCTATAGAGTTAGGGAGGTAATCCACAGAAGAACAGACTTTTCGGTTACCTTGTTTCATCAACAGAAGTGAAAACATACTGGTTCAATTTATCCAAACCTTCTAGCGTACCAAAGAATTCAGTAACCTTACAAGTCTGGGATCTGCAAAGTATGTTTGATCTTATCTGGCTGGTTTTTTTTTTTTTTCCAATAGGACAAACATTCTCAAATGGGGCAAGAGACAGAAATACTCTTGATCGTGGTAAGAAAATACATTACAGGAAATGCTATTTCGTGATTTAGAACTCTATGAAGAATCGTGGCATGTAAGAATGACCACTGTCTTTCTGGAGGAAGCGAGAACTTTAATTTCACTTTGCTCGTTTGGCAATACCACCAGTCATATCACATTCCCCAATTTACTATGTGTGTACATTACCCACATGTAACCCCACAGTTCTTCACACAGGAAGGCAAGAAAGTTTTAGAAACTTGACAAACTTTATCTAGCAAGGCAAGTGCATTACTACACAACTATTACACTTGATTTTCGTTTTTAAGGGTCACCAAATCTGAAATCGATGCCATTTGCTAACTAATCAGAGGAGAAACATGAAAAGATTTTACCTAAGAAAATCAAAACAATGGAAGGTATTCACTGTTCATTCTTCAAATAGCAGAGTCTTAATCACAAACCCTCCCTTAGTTACGTCTCCTTTCAGCTTTCAAAAAAAGAAAGAATTTAAAAGCACGTTTTCTGGGGATGTACTCCTGCTTAAAAATACCCGCTGCGCCCAACTACGATGTAACGGCTTTCCATTAGCCACATTTTTCCAAGGAGCACTCACCTCATCCAGTACCTAATAACCGACCCGTACTACTTTTGAAAAACTGGTATGCAACAGCTACAACTCTGAGCAGAAATTTCACGCCCCTTGTCTTTCCCTCTCCTTCCTGGCAGAGGAGGACACACCTACACACCTCTTTTTCTTTGTACAGCCTAGAGAAAAAAATATATATTGAAGTCTTCAAAGTATTAATTTATGAAGTTACTATTTTTTTCTTATGTAAACTGCCAAGCCCCCACAGCTACCAAAAAAAAAAAAACCCACCAAACCCCGAACAACTTTTTGCAGAATGCAGTGCTACCGTCCTACAGCCCCAGCTTGCAAGTACCACTACATATCCTGAGCAGCAAAGTGAAATTGAAAATAAACTTAATCAGTTTGACATTTACCCTTCAGATCCCTGAGGTAGCATCAGTACCTTTTAAAAAAAAAAAAAAAAAAAAAAAAAAAAAAAAGTCATTTCTCCCCACTGGTTGCCAGGAAGCAGGTTTCAGAGATCGATAAAGAAGTCCGGGATGACAAGCAGGCACAGACACAATTCTAAAAAGCCCCACCTGTAAAGCTGCAGAGAAGGACAGGCCTCGACCCTACCCTCATACAGACCAGCGGCTCTCCGACACACGTACACGCACCCACAGCCCGGAGGCTCTGCGATGCACAGGCTTCAGGTTTCAAAGCTCCTAAAACTAATAAATTGTCAATTTTCATAGTAAAATCATGCCTTTCAGCACTACCCGTTGACCACCATCCTGCCATCTTACCACACATCAAAAAAAAAAAAAAAAAAAAAAAAAAAAAGAAAAAACCAACCTCATTCCTTAGCTCTTGCCTCTTTTCACTGCATTTGAGTCATCGCATAAACCCAAGCCGGCTACTGGGCACCACAAACTTTAAAGAGTCCGTTACCAAAACGCGCTACTCCATTTGCCGCGCTAAGATTAACAAAACTTTAACACTGGAATCACATCTTGACTCTTTATCTCATTACGCGGGAAGCACAATTTGGGAGGGGGGGGAAAAAAAAAAAGGCTTGGGGGGGAAGCTCAGCTCAAGCAATTTACTCCGTAAGACACCCAAAACCCCGAAGAACAGCAGGGGATTTAAAGGAGGATCTATTTGTCCTGACCCGGCAGACACAGACCCCAAAAAGTTGGCGCACACGCAAGATTTTATACTTCTTTACATCCTGACAGCTCTTTAAGCATCTCAAAATGAAAGCGCAAAAAACCTTTGATACACAGAAAATTGAGACTTACCAAAACTCTAGGGAAAGCCAAAATATTTCCCTGGTCGCACTTTACATATTCTGTAGTTTATGTTACACCTTTAATACACTCCTGATTTGTGTCTTTCGCTGTGGTAACTTTAAAGCACAAGACAGAAGCCCTCCTGGTGAATAACGACCCTATGACAACTGCGATGAAATCCTCAAACTTTTAAATACACTGCTGGGCGTGCAAAGCAGAGTTCGCGCCCCAACACACCTTGCCAAAGCGATTGAAAAGGTTTTTGGGGGTCTTTTTTGTTCGATTTTTCTTTTTTTTTTTTTTTTTGGTGCATAGCACGGATACCCCCGCCACCCACTTCCACCACCACTATTCCTCAAAATACCCGATCGGACAGGCTAAAGCGGAGTTGATCCCGCACC